TCTCCTTAAATTATTTCTTTTCCTTAAAAAAAAAAAAAACCATTTCCTTGGCATTTGAGATCTTTTTGGTTTTGAATGTACTTTTCACTCTGTACTGCATGCAATCTTCTTCTCTGTTAGATCTCCTCCTAAACATTGGTAATGACACGGATGATCCAGGTTGAATCCTCGACTATGATATCAAAAACTTGTTGCGCTAAAATTTTGCCAAGTGTATGTCATTATAGTCAAGTAATAAAGTGTGAATAAAGTATCGTTCCTACAAAAACTAAGTATTTGTTTTAGTTTTCATTTAATACCAATTTTAATCGAATAACAAAATTAGATAAGTTTTAAAAACCTAAAATCTATAGCTAATCAAACCTATGGAAAGCGATTATGAAACTCAAGTAATTGACAAGCATTATAGCTTAGAATCCCCTTACATAAATCCATTTTAATATCAATTTCATTATTTGACAACACTTATTTGTATATGAAATCATTATTCCTTATTCGTTTAATAATCTCTCTCGAGTACAACTAAATATATCCTCACATACGACTCTCCTTTTATCTCTAGGAAGGCGAACGTTTAACAATGTATTAAATCACAAGAACATTCAAAAGGATCTTGAAAAGCATAGAGATATATCTTTATTTCTACCAGATTTACATTGATTGTTACTACATACTATAATTTATATTTCTTTTCTCGAATGTCGATAAAAATTAAAGCAACTCAATTAGTGATCAAGTAACTGGAAAAGCATTAAACTCCTAACAACCATTCCAAACCAAACACATGTTTAATGTCAAAATTCAAAATTGAATATTAGAAAATTAAAATATAGGGTTAATGTTATCCTTGCATCTATATAATTAGCCAAGTATCATTTTGATTATAAAAACACAATTGAATCGATACAACATGCCTAGAAATTAAAGTTTGGAAAGAAATCTTGTTCAACCTTAAAAGTGCGTAGAATACACTTATCCAATACCCCCTAACTTAAAATCTTGTTCGTTTCGAGCAAATTATCTACTTAACACACAAGAAATAAAATATAATTATCAATGCATTAGTTGACTTGTCGAAATCACATCAAGTATTGAAACAGTTCGACAATTCATAAAAAGCTCCTAAATAATGCCACCAAAATAATTTTTCACTTATTCAATGATCCATCGATATGTGTATGCATAGTCAATCTAATCATCATGAACTTTTAGGTTGATTATTCCCGACCCATACCCTCAAACTTGTTCTTTAATCTCTCACCGGGAATCTTTATTTTAAGGTTGATTTTAGAATGTTCATTCATTTCCTGCTTATGTTTGGTTTGAATTTCAACAATGGAAGTAACTAACTTGATATGTGATGATTCTTACTATATTTGAATGCTTCAACCTCCAAGCTTGAACTAGGTAATAAATATCACAAGAAATTTAGATCCGAATTAAGTATCTAAGGCTTAGTCAGACAAAAAATAGTATTTATAGTTATTTTGTCACCATCTCAATATACTTTAGTATTTTTTTTTTTATTATTATTTTTTCATTGTGTCCCTTCTTTCATTTTTTGGAACTTTTATTTTGCTTTTGAATGTAGTTTTGGCTCATTCTTTCCCAACAGATAGTCTCCAAAAACATTTGCTACGAATAGTCTGATTACTCAAGTCTAACTCTACACTTCAATGTATGTAACATTTTTCCTATGTGTCACGATTAGTGCAATGCCTTTTATTATGACAAGTAATTGAAATCTAAACTCCTAATTTATGATTACTACCTACGTTCCATTTGATTGTCAAAATCACTCCCAACAGGCACGAAATTTGCATCTATCTAAATATCTCTGAACAAGGGACCAATTACCCCTAAACTAATCCTTTCAATAGGTTAAGTGATTTTTCAACCTAAGTTCATTTAACTTATTCTATCACATAATCAACAAAAAATACGTAATGAATATCATGACTATTATGCTCAAATGATACAA